AAAAAACATAGGCTTAGAGAAATTTAAAAGCAAAAACATCTATCTTTAGTAATAAAGATATTAAAATAGTGCTTGTGCTCATTTTATTTGCACAGGAAGGCTTAAAAAGAAACTCTTTTGAGAAATGAAAGCTCATCAGATCACTAATAACTGCAGTTTCCTGAACAATTAAAGAAATTCACAAGATTACAACCTACTTAGGAAATGACAAATATTTCCTATTTTTACAGAAGGATTAAAAGGGCACTTTTATCTATGGCATCTTATAGCTTATAGTGCTTCTGTAGAAAACACTGTTAAGTAATGAAGACATTTTTATTTTTTTATTCATTTATTTTAGGAGTACTTAACATGGCTATGGTCTGAAAAAAGAGAAAACTAAACATTGCCTGTATGGAAAGTGGAGAGGTAAAATTTTGTTTTAAAAGGCATTTACCAGATTTTTCTTTTTTATTTATTGAAGTTGGACCTAATAGCACAATTTCAATTCTACAAAACTTTCGTTTCTAGTACATCAGCAGAAGTGTCCTTTAAATTACCTAGTCTAATTCTTCACAAATACACTTTGTAAGGCTGTCCTCAATGCATCATCCTAACATTGTTTCGCCTGGATAACATTCTGTGTTGCAATGTTTCTGTTTAGAAAAAAACCTGCTTTTTTAAGTAACTGATTCAATAATCTATTGACAAATGATTTGTATATATATTACGGCCAGCAAACAAGACTTGGGTCTGCCATTACATGCCACATACAACCCGCCCACAAATGTTGCCCGTTCTTCTTATGCTAGAGCTACTCATGCCATTCCGAATAGTGACCCAAAGATCAATACACTGTCTGCTGAAAACTACAGTACATAACAAATGAATAATTTTATTTACAATAAAATCCCCAGTTCCCAAATGCATTCCACTAATGTTCAAATTCATTTTTCATGCAACTCAAGATGAGAGGTAGACATAGCACAATGCAAAGAGAGGGGGCGAGGAGAAATACTAACCAGAGTGGTTCAAATTTATTTAAGCCATGAACAATAGCTGGGCTACACTGAGGTACATGAATAATGTGTTCACTGCAGAATTCTAAAGATACAATCTCCTAAACACATGTGTTTTCTCACCAAAACACTCTGAAAAGCATTTTCCAGAAACAATAAGTTAATAGATTAAAGATGTTCTGACATATTCTCTTAGAGTGTTATGCCGCAGAGGCCAATGCTTATTTATTTGGTTTTAAACACTGAACCAAATAGAAGCGTTTGTTTCAGGTGTGGCTCTTTCGAGAATGAAGCAAATAGTCTTGCTTCAAAAGTACATCTTCAGCCCCCAATTTGACCTTTCTTTTCCTCCTCTGAAAGGTATGGAAGAGTCAGCAGGCAAAGTCATAAGAAAAAGGGTGAGAGTGGGGGACCCCTCAAAATGTTAGAGAGGACACAGTTTCAGAGATGACATTTACAAGTCTCTTATGAATGGCACATTTCCCAAAGGCCACCTGAATACTCTTTTTAAAAAGAAATCATCAAAAATAAAAAATAACAATTTTCAATTTACATAGAATTGCCTTAAAATACAGACTTGTCCATTGAAAAATTAACATTTTTTTTTAAAGGGATGAGAAAGAATCTTTTCCCATGAACATCAATTCATTCACTGCTTTTAGACTTAACTGGGTACACTCACAGCACAGAAACGTAAACATGATTGTAACTGACAAGGCATGAAGGAAAAATACAGCTTGAATATGATACTAAAGAACCTGGAATAAAACAGTGACAAGACTTGGCTTTGTGCATGGGAATACTGAAAAGGCAGGCCTTCCACAGACCCTTATTGGTCCCTTCCATTAGTCGAAACCATCCAGGTACTCCTGATGTTTACACTCTCACTTTAAACTCAGTCAGCAAAGTACTTTGGATGTTAGGACCAAAAATTGTGCAATAGCAGGTCTTCTTCCCACTCCTTACCAGGAACCAACAACTCAGTGCAGAAGCAAACAGGAATGCACATAGTTATGACATGAAGCAGAATGAGATGAAGGCTCGGAACGGTGCCTGGAACAGAGCAGGAGCTCAGTAATAAACTGTAAAATGAATAAACATGTGATTCATGAACCAAGGGTCACAAAAAGGAGAGAGTATATTTTTTCCTAAAAAGATAGACAAGTATCAAAGCACTTTAGCTGAAATGAAAATGATGGGAAGAACTGTAAGGTGGAGAGGGTTGCATGGGGGAGTGTGATAATGGAAATACAGTGCCTGGTTAGGAAAGAGCTGAGAAGGGTTGAGTCAAGACAACCTATGGTGACAGGTGGGTACCGGAAATAGCGGGGATCACTTTGTAAAGTGTACAATTGTCTACCACTATGCTGCACACCTGAAAATAATACAAAATAATATCTAATGTAAACTGTAACTGAAAAATAAAATGAAATTTTAAAAATATAACAAAAATTTTTTTAAACTATGCTAAGGAGTTTGAACTTTATCCTTAAAAAGAAAGGTGGGAGGTGAGGGAGGCTCATTTGTTTCATTAGTTGTTTGAGACAAGGGAACAGGAGAATGATATGATCAGAGCTTTGGTTTAGAACGAGGTATATGTTGGATGGGAGAAATCCAGACACAGGGAGGGCGTACAAAGTTCGATGACCTAGCCAAGCAGTTAAATGAGAGCAGACAGAATAGAATGCTGGGGAAAGATTAGAGCCTGCTGCAGACATCTCCCCAGTCGTTTTATGAAATGATAGTGGGCAGAGCTATCCACAAGTTCAATTCCCAAATCACAGGACAAAAGAAATGTTGCTTTCTGTAAGCAAGTAAGTAACTTGTTAAGATTCTTCTCACAGTTGTCACTTAACAGACTTTACAAAGGTAAAGTAAAATAAAAAGTTACAAAATCATCATATAAAAAGGATTGTCTGAATTCATCATCTACTAATCCTGAGACCACTTTAAAATAACCTGTAGCTGTAAAATAACCTTACAGAGTATACTGATTACAAAAACAATCCTGTTCTCACTGTTCTCATTCTCAGAAATGGCCAGGCCCCTCTTGCTACCTTCCAAACAAATGAGCTTGTTAATTTTAATAAAATGCCCCCCATCTCCTTTGCATTTACTCAAAGACACGGTAATTGACCAGGACCCATTTCCAAAATGACAATTCCAGTGCCATCTAGAACAAAGGTAATCATCATTCACTACTTGCACACTGTTCAGTGTAGACATTTCACTAGATTCAGACATCTCAAATTCTCTTCAGTTCAAAAACATATGTGACCCAGGTCTTACACATTATACATTCAGAACTGGTTTAAAATACCATGAAAACTAAAGTTTCTTACTATAACTAAAAAAATCACAGAACAAATTCCATTCCATTATTAACCATTAAAAAAGCAATGCAACTCTACAATCTCACATGTTCTCAGTCTAAGGTATAAGATTTGTTTACTTAAATTCATATTTTCATGCCAGGTTGCCTTAATTCTTTGACAGAGGTCAATTAAAATTGACACCTAAAGAGAGATGGAATTTAAACCGTTATTCTTTTGATAGTGGAATTCCCAGTTTGCATAAAAAAGTTCCTTGAAGGAAAAAAGAAAACCACAAAATTGCAGCACAATCCAATGAAAAAAATAAATTGATTCTGTTATTTCAAGAGCTTCAGGTCTTTGAGAAGAACTCAATAAAAAACTAGTATGCAACGTGAAAATTGTTCTGTTTTATAGGACCCTTCTGAATCATTCTAGTTTTCTTTTTTATTTCAATAAACAAAAGAATGGAATTTTCTAATATTGAGTATAATTTAAGCTATTTTATGAATTTAAAAGAAGAGTTATATATTATCAAGAAAAACATTATATCACATCATTTACTAGTTTATTGCTGTGGTCATTAGTTTTCTATTTACAAAATCACTTCAGTTAAAATTTGGATTCAAGAATTTGAAAGTCTATCATAAAATCACAATTATCTTTCAGAGCATATTTTCTTGTTTGTATATTTTTCAAGAAAGACTATTCACAAAATTTTCAAACACTTTGAAAATTGCTACTGGAAAAAAATATAACTTACTCTGAAAAAATATCTTGACATATTTGTAGATATAGAATAACTAGAAATTTACTTAAAAAATCATGTATCAATGTTGCAAATGTTAATTATTTTAAAATATAAAATGTTATGCTTTTTTGCACTCTGCATAGTAAACTAAGTTAGGGAAAAGATAAAAATATTCTAAAGAATCAGTACAAAAGTCATATGCACACAATCACAAGTGATAACTTCAATAACATAAAAATTACTCTCCAGAGCATTTCACCAATTCTTACGACTCTGCTGCAAAGAATAAAGCTTTTATCAAAGTCAATAGGAGAGAAGACTACAATTTGACAGAGGGAAATAAAACAACCCACCACTAATGACACTTGACAATAATCTGGAAGGTGTGATATTTTCCACGAGGAAATGCTATTTCAGGCCCTAACATGAAAAAATATTTAAGTATATTTATGTATATGAATTATGTAAAACTCCTAGCTTGAATGGTCTCTAAGAGGTAAAACCAACTAGATCTCAAATCTTTACATAATACGTTACTTTCAAGTCACGAAAGTACCATCCAATCTTTATCTTACTATTAAAGTTCACAACTGGTAACTCAAAACAAAGTGCCCACAGTATTTATTGGAACCATTTTAGAAGCACTTATTTATTTACACAGCTACCATAGTACAAAAGTCAAGCAAAAACTCACCTCCGAAGCCACAGTTGCTAAGCAACTCTTTCCAGAAGTTCTGCAAAACTGATCGAACATATTTCTGGTACCATCAACTGGATTCAGAATAAATGTAACAATATCTTACCTGGTTTTTGAAAAGAGGGAAGGAAGTGGATTCCTTGTTTACCTTTTGGACAGATATGGGAGGCCAATCCTGTAGTCACTTGGTACGTTAGGTTCAAGGGCTTTTTCTCCCTCTCTTAAAAAATAAAAAAGGATACGTCCTGGTACCACAGGTTTCCTGTTCACGAGGGCAAAGGACAGTTCTGTTTTGAGAAATACCACAGAGGGCTTGATGAGGTGTTGGCCAAATCTGAATGACATTTTCTCAGAGTTGAAATCTGAAAGAGAAGATGATTTAGGGCCTTTATAAAATTCAGTTGAGAAACTTAGGTCATATACCATCTTAAAGAAAACAAACTCCATTGCTACAGGTTCTTAGTTGAGAAGAAGTCACTTAATCTGTTCCTCATTTAATGTCCACTAAGATGTATTCTGAGAAAATCTTCCTAAAAGACTCTACTCTCCCCAAAAGGGTGGCCTTGATTGGAGTTAATGTTTTCAAGCAGAAGCCTGTACATTAACAATATAATGGGCATCTTAATCTTCTGTACTTCAGGTTGCCACCTTAACCCAAATCTACTAGGTCCTATCTGTCATGTACTCTTTGTTTTTACCCATCCACTTCATCATCTTTACCAGGCTAAAATTTTTCATTGTTAAACATTTACTCTAAACTATCTAATTCTTAAATACTCTCTCAATCATTTTATCTTTGTTTATATAAAAGCAATTTAAAAAATTGCAAACACTGTTTGAACTTGTCTACAGTTATAAAAACATAGAAGCACTTTCAGAGAACTATTACAGTAAAATTCCCAAAATTGAAGAGAAAAACATTTGTAAAGAAAAAGGAAAGGACAAAATATAGTTCAAGATGAGAATAATTTCTGGTTGACACAGAGCCAGAGTATAGCAAGGTATGTGAAGTGTTTCATATCTTCTTTTGGGGGCAAAGTCACATTGCAGGGTGAGGGTAGTAGGAAGGGGGTAAAGCAAAATTTGGCACTTGGCTTCTAGGGTCCCAAGGAAAGATTTTCTATCATTTAGATAACACTATATGGCAGAGTTACTTTCTGAAGGACTAAGACACACCCTCCTTTGGTGCATTTTCATTTTCCTATGTCAGGAACAATTTTACTATAAAACTGATAAAGATGAATCAATCTGTGGGAAACAGACAGGATTATAAAAAAAAAAAAAAAAGAATGATATCAGAAAATAGCCAGTGATGTCAGAGGAATGCTGGTGTGAGAGATCCCCTTGATCTTTCCCCTTGAAGTTTCAACAATTTAACAGCTATAATTCAACAAAGGATTTTCTGCTCAGTGCACAAACATGTCTAAGCAACCAGGAGGGGCAAAGAGATTCAGTGAGCATTCCTGCAGGAGTGGGCAATAGTAACTATGGCTGAGCCCAGTGACCTAGGCAGGGACAAACACAAAGATGAGGCCAAAGTGGTCTGGCATTTCGCATTCCAGAGAGAAAAACAAAGCCACACAGATGATCCACCTTCCTTGAACCTCCCAGAGCTTGCCTCCCCCCACCTATCGTGTCAGGTTGCAGAGTATATTATCTGCAAACCTGAGAACTGGTACTACAGAAAACACTTTTTCCATGAATGAAGGGTGCACTCTGTGACCAATCCCAGGTTGGGTAGAGATGCAGGGGAGACTCTGCAGGGGTCTGAGGTCACCGTTTCTGGGAGGGCAAAGCAACAAAGAAGGCAGCTGGGTTCCCCCAGCTCACTCCACAATGACACATTACAGTTGCACTGCCGGCAGCACCTGGCTGAGAAGGAGAATATTGGGATTTAATGGATTTGGAGTCCCATTGTCCATTGCATTTCCCTGCGGGGTTGGTCACCTGGAACCAGGGCAGCCAGCTCACAGGGGAGGGGCCCACCTTTCCAGAGAGCACAGGCCATTTTTCACCAACCCACAGAAACCTGAAAAGACAGAGAAGTGCAAAAGAGCTAAAAGAAACCCTTTCCATTTAGTGCCATCTACTAGAAAACAGCAGAAAGACCTTCTGCTTATCAATCTACTATAATAGTGCCAGTCACAGACTGATGCCTAGACAGAGAAGGAATCCATCAAATATCATGAATAACTAAGGTAATGAGGCAGCTCAGAAAGGATATGAAAAATCTCCATAAAATCTACTTAAAGATATGGAAATATGTGGCTTAAATGACAAAGAATTCAAAATTGTAGTTCTGAAAAAACTCAATGAGATACCAAAAAAAAAAAAAAAATACACACCAAATAGGCAGTTTAATGAGCTCAGAAATGAAATTAACAAAACAAATACTTTACCAAAGAGATTGAAACTTTAAAAAAGAACCAAACAGAAATTCTGGAGTTGAAGAACTCAATAAAAGAGATCAAGAATGAACTACTGAGCACAGGAAATAGAGCTGACCAGATGGAGGAAGCAAATAGTTATACCAAAGACATGGCGCAGGGGGCAAGAATAGAGGAACTTGAGCATAAAAGGAAATGAAAGAACTCTTTGAGAACTATCAGACTCCATCAGAAAGAGCAATATAAGAATAATAGCCATACCAGAAGAAGAGAGGGAGCCCTGGTTGGTGTGGCTCAGTGGACTGAGTGCCCACCTATGAACCAAAAGGTTGCTGGTTTGATTCCCAGTCAGGACACATGCCTAGGTTGAGGGCCAGCTCCCCAGTTGGGGGTGTGTGGGAGGCCACTCATTGGTGTTTCTCTCACACATCAATGTTTCTCTTCCTCTCTTTTTACTTCCCTTCCCCCTCTCTAAAAACAAATAAATAAAATCTTCAAAAAATGTTAAAAATTAAAAAGAAGAAGAGGAGAGGGAAAGGAGAATGGAGGACCTATTCAAACAAATAGTTGATAAGAACTTCCCAAACCTATGGAAAGAGCTAGATCTTCAAATATAAGAAGCAAACAGAACACCTAATTACCTCAATCTAAAAAAAGCCTTCTCCAAGCCACATTGTATTAAAACTGTCAAAAATTAATGACAAAAAATAATTCTGAAGGCAGCCAGGGGAAAGAAGGAAGAATCCCATAAAGGAAAGCCCATTAGGCTATCATCAGACTTCTTGGCAGAAATTCTACAAGCTAGAAGAGAGTGGAACCAAATACTCAAACTAATAAAGGAGAGAAATTACCAGTCAAGAATAATATATCCAGCAAACTTATCTTTTAGATATGAAGAAGAAATAAAGTCTTTTCCAGGTCTACAGAAGCTGAAGAAATTTTTCACTAGAAGATCTCCACTGCAAGAGATATTCAAGAGGGTTATTCTATGTGAAACAAAGAACAAAAGATCACAAAACTATGAGTTATCTCACCAACAAACATACAGTATAAACAGGGATAATTTGTGACAACAAAAACATAAAAGGGAAAAAAGGAAAGGTCTGAGTTTGCAAAGGAGGGTGGAGATCAGATGCACTCCAAAAAAGGACAGCTGTATATCCATATATACTTTCTTTTTCATAAACCTAATGGTAACCACATACACATAACAAAAAACCCCCAAAACTGAGATGCATAACTTTAAAGAAAAGGAAACAGAGAGAAAAAGTATGGAATAACCTCAAAACAAAAACAACAGACAGAAATATACAGGAAAAAACAACAGACATAAATATAGGGCAGAATGGAGGAGAGCTACCAGAAAACAAAAGATAAAATGGCTATAGGAAATCCTCATACATCGATAATTACCCTCATTGAATTATAAATATGAATGGACTGAATTCACCAATAAAAAAGCATAGAGTAGCAGATTGGATCAAAAACGAAATTCAACAAAATGCTGCCTTTAGGAAATACATCTAAGCTGCAAAACAAAGACTCAAAGTAAAATGATGGAAAGTGATTTTTCAAGCAAATACCATCCACAGAAAAGCAGGTGTATCCATACTTATATATGACAAAATAGATTTAAAGAGAACAAAGGTAATGGGAGACAAAGATGATAAAGGGGACACCACATCAAGAAGACATAACAGTTCTCAATGTGTGTGTGTGTGTGTGTGTGTGTGTGTGTGTGTGTGTACACAGACATACAATCTGGGGACACCAAAATACCAAAAGCAACTACTAACAGAACTAAAGGGATAAACAGACAAAGACACAATCATAGTAAGGGACCTAAATACTTCATTGAAAGCTCTAGGTAGATTATCTAAACAGAAAATTCATAAACATCAGCCTTAAATGACACATTAGACTGAATGGACATAATTGACATTTACAGATCCTTTCATCCCAGAACATTAGATTATACATTATTCTCCTGTGCAAGTGGAACGTTTTCAAGGGTAGACCATATGTTGGCTCACAAAACTAGCCTCAGCAAATTGAAGAAGATTAAAATTAAACCAAGCATATTCTCTGACTACAATGATTTAAAATTAGAATCAACTGCAAAGGAAAAAAAAAGAAGTAAAAAACACACATACAAATATGTAGAAATTAAAAAACATACTACTAAAAATGACTGGGTGAAAGATGAAATAAAAGATGAGATCAAAAGATATATAGAGGCAAATGAAAATTACACTAGAACATATCAAAACTTCTGGGATACAGCAAAAGCAGTAAGTAAGAAGGAAGTTTATATCATTACAGGCCTATCTTAAGAAACAAGAAAAACCTCAAGTAAGTAACCTCACATTACATCTTAAAGAATTAGAAAAAAGAAGAACAAAAGCAGACTAAAGTCATTAGAAGAAAGTAAATAATAAAAATTAGAGTAGAACTGAACAAAATAGAGGACAGAAAACCTATACCAAAATTAACATAAAAAAAGCTGGTTCCTTGAAAATGTTAATGCAACTTACAAACCCTGGCTAGACTCATTTAGGAAAAAAGAGAAATGACTCAAGCAAAATCAGAAATAAAAGAGGAGAAATTACCACAGACCTCAGAGAAATACAAAGGATCATACTAGGATACTATGAAAGACTATATGACAACCAATTCAAAAAGAAACAGATACATTCCTAGAAATACGTAAACTTCCTAGACTGAATAGTGAAAAATTGGAAAATCTAAATAGACTGATCAACAGTGAGGAGATTAAAACAACCATTAAACACCGCCCCCCCCCAAAAAAAAGGTTGAGGATAAGATGGCTTCACTAGTGGATTCTACCAAAATTCAAAGATTTAAAACCTACCCTTCTGAAACTCTTACAAAAAACTGAAGAAGAGGCAAAACTTAATAAGACATTCAATGAGACCAACATAACCCTGATACCAAATCCTGGCAAGGATAATATA